GTTCTCCAGCCGTTTTTATAGAAACACACATTAAAATGGTGTCCGTCCCTGCCAGGGCTCACAAGGCCGGTAAATGCTCATAAAAACGTGCGGGGGGGCAGCTCTGAGCCTCTCCAAAGTGCTTCATTTCAGTCCAGCGTGCACATGAAACAAAGTTTGACTCTTTCAATATGCAGTTGCAAATGCGGTCTTGTTTAAAACTTCATTTTATGAGAGATTTCAGTGGCAGTGAGATTGAAAAGTGCGATTTCAGTGCGATGATACTTTAATGCCCAGTGTGGTAGATCAAGAGACTGGGCTTGACATCACAAAAATCAACAACCTGCAGTCTTTTTGCCAAACACCATGACAAAGACCCAGAATAATCATCAAAGAAACTGGAGGTTCACTGCTGATTCAGCAGTCAACACACCTTCGGCAGCTACGTGTAACGCTTATTTTACCCCAACATAACGCTCTTCTCACAAATGAGTGGTGAGGACAAGGAGATACGAGGGGTGCAAGGTGACAGGGAGGACGTTTTCCAGCTGGTCTGGTTCATTGCGATGCAACGGATACAGTCAGTGCACTCATGCACCGTCTCATTCTCTTGCCCAGAACACTGTGGGTCATTAATTGCAGTGACATATGGTACAACGTTTGCATACAATAAGGATTTACTCAGTGCAGAGCTAGAGTGCAGGGACAGGCTGAAATGTAATATTTTGAGTCATGTTTCATCATATATGAATGAAATCACATTTCCACCCGTACTAAGAAATGCTTGAAGTGCAGCCTGAAAATGCATCCCCCTTTCTAAGCTACAGATGGACTCCTTCTCCGTTCTTATGTTAATGAGGTGATATAAAGTTATGTTTCCTGATCTGGTGCCCAGAGTAATTAGTTATGAGTTATTTAGTTTAACTGTGTTGACAAGTTCAGTCTAACTGGCTAAAATTCATCAGTCTGGATAACAGTGTCACGTCAAAATCGAAAATGAATTATAAAGTTTTAATATAACAATACCAATTCCCTCCTGCTTAACTTCACTTTTCCAAGTCTCTAACTTACATTTTGTTTTGAAAAAGTTTGACCAAAACAACATGGTATCCAAGATAGAGGTCTGTATCTCACTCTACAAGATTTCGCTCAAAAGTAAACCATATACATAACACTCAACTCATTTTAGGCAAGCTTAGATATATCATGACATTTTGTCTTGCTGACAACTGAGCGAAAGCTGTAGGCGAAGACAGCACTTTGCCAACACTGTGAAATCCATTTAAATTCTGTGTCTAATATTTCAGTGTGCTCACTTTTTAAGTTGTTTTTTTTTGCATATATTCAGGTTAGGTACTCAAGCATATTTTAAATGAACACAGATAATTTGTACAAACTATAGCAGACTATCCACAAACTTTCATCTGATCAAAAAATCTTTTATTTTGGCCCTTAAAATAAACATTACTGTGTTCATTGCTTGAATTAATCAGGGATAATTCATATGTTGTCCTTTGGAACAAGTAAAAATTAATTAAATTAAATTAAATCCAGATATAGATCTAAAATGCAGGCTATTCAGTTGTACAAATTATCAAACATTGAGAGCATAAGCAAAGTTATCTACTTAAAGAAAAAGGCATTTTGTTTGGTTTAATTAATTCAACAAATAAAAAAATACAATAAGAGCTTTGCTGGCCTATGGGTGTAAACAAACATGACTGAGAAAGGCTGCTCTACTTTATTATCAACTAGAAAATATTTGAACATTTTATAGGTCTGTAATAGCTTAATTAAAAACATTTTAATGCAGCTATAGTCAGATTTTAGCTCCTGCTGCACTATAAATAGTTGACACAGGGATATGGTTTCACAAATGTCAGCTGCATTTTTACATTTATAGGATGTCAAATGTTTACAATCCACATTTGTGGGAGGGTCAATATAATCGAGCAAAATACTAGATTAAAAAATTAAGGCTTCGCAGTCCCAGGAACATTAACTTAACCAATTAACATTAACCAAGCTAACAATTTCAGGTTCTGTGAATATTCCTTAACCTGTTTCACAAATATAGATCTGTGTAGTTCTTCTGTGGCTTTCTGGAACGTTCTTAACATCATTTGCATGTTGTAGGGGTAACTTGTTAGACAGCAATCTTAGGACGATCTTTCTTGAGTGATATTTAAAGATGGTGAACTCCGTTTTGGAAATATGGGTTATCGTAATGAAAGGAGGTCTTTGCTGCGCCTGTCTCCTGTCATTGACAGACTATGCATATTGCAGGTTGTCTCGGAGTCCGGAGACTGGGAGGAGACGTCCTGAGCTGGTATCATCCGGAAACCACATGGGGGAGGCTAAGGTAGCCCACCCCAGCTATAGAATACACAATGAGTTCTCTTAAAAAAGGGAATACAGAGGGTGGTTTGCTCTACTCAGTCATCTGAGCTGCACATGGCTCCCTGTGTAAGACACCTGAGGTGACACAACGTACCTGCTTGCTGGGCTACAGCATAAAAGACCTGAGACCTCAGTTGCTGCGTGTTGGCTCTGACCTTGGGGTGACCTTACCGAGAGTCTCTCTCCCAGTCTCTCCGTAACCACCCCCACACCCTAACAAGAACGCGCCTCTATGGAACATTGGGGAACGGAAGAATGAGGTCATCGGCTAGCTATCCCGACAGGCATCAAAAGAGTTATTACATGCCGTTTACTGGGCAACTGCTAGTCTGTTGAAGTAATTACACGTTCATTTTCGAAGAGTGGGGTTAGGGGAGATGCGGTTTGGCCAGTTGAAGGAATCTGGAATAATATGGCCTCACCAGAAAGTGACTCCTTGTGTTTATGAGCAGGCAATGTAGGCTATTGCTGGTCTAGTGTGGCTATATATAAATGAACATATTTAAATGTAGGTATATCGGAGACCGAGAAGGTAGAACAAATCAGAATCAGAATTAGAATCATAGTCACAATCACAATGGTTTATTGACAAAAACTTCTCCATACAGGGAATTTACTTTGGAGTGTCTTGCAAAACAATCAGGGATAATCAAGATAATAAATTATATACATACATAAAATAATATCATGTGCCTCGTGCAGATAATGTGCATAGAGCGATGAAGCAGCCAGCTGGTTAGGCAGACTTGGGCAAAGATAATATGCATAGTGTAATGGAGATAGAGTTGCAACACAAAAAAAACAACATTAACAAACAAAACAAGACAAGACAACTTGCACAGACCCAGCAAGGCAACCATACATTCATTGTACAACCTATTGCTTTTAGATTCAAGATTCAAAGATATTTTATTGTCAATTCACATTCTATGTGCAAGACAGACATGAGAACCAAAATGCTGTTTCTCACTCGCTAGTGTGTGTGCCATGCAATTAGAACTAGAATTATTTTTTAATTCTATTTTTAATTTATTATTGGTAAAAATTGCTGTACCTTACTTCTATTCTTTATTGGCTGTTGCAACACCCAAATTTCCCCTTGTGAGATAAATAAAGCTTTAATAAAGTCTCATTTTATCTCATCTTGGTTTGTTGGCCAGTCAGTGGCGGCGACGCAGAACCGATGATGCGCTGGATCAGCCACTTCAGTGATTAATGTGCGTTTCCCCTTGATGCTCTGCACTAATCTGGCTCACAGCTTCGCCACTTACCACGGTGGCTTCTAATGACCAGCAGCTCCAGACACTGAGGCAGGAGCAGATGTCACTCATCTTCCAGCCAAGACGGCGGGGGAGCATGGTTGCCGTGGTTACGAAAAGCCCATCATCTGCTGAGTAGGTGAAAAGTTTCACAAACACACCGACAATTCATCCTAGTTCAACATGACATTGTGCCACTGAAGTGTTTTACCAGAAAAATCACTTTCTCTGCCAGCATGATTTCAGCCCCATGGTCCGCATTATTATCATTATACATTGATTCTTGCCACAGACTTGTGCCATTGCATGACAAGAATAGCTCAGCATTTACCAACAACTTTCTTCGACATATTCCTCATCTGGCGGTACAGTAAGAGGTGGTGCAGTGCTGCAGTGGTTAGCACTGTTGCTGTACACCTCTGGCACCAGGGTTTGAGTCCACTATGGCTCCATGTGTGTGGAGTTTGCATGCTCTCCCTGTGTTGCTGTGCAGTTTCCTCCAGTTTCCCCCCTGCAGTCCTAAGACACACTGAAGTGAATTGGCATTATCAAACTGCCTGTAGGTGTGAATGGTGCGTACATGTCAAGGTTTGCCACCCTGTCCTGGGTCTTCCCCTACCTTGGAATATTGTGAACAGAAGATGGATGGTACAAGATGATGCACCATTTCTGCCTTCCAGACACAGGTCCAGCTGCAAATGCTGCCCAGCTGGATGTTGACAGAGCTCACCGGCTTCCTTGTCGCACTGACGCGTCTCTCTGCTGCCTTCCCATTACATAAGGGCCCAGGGTTGTGCTGTACGCTCCATGTGTTCAGACGACACATCTCTCACGCGGTGGAAGAAACTCCTTTGCTCTGTGCCAAATGGATGAGGTTATATTACTCACTTTCTCCGTGCTTGAAGAGGCCAAAGCAACTGGACATACGACAGCTCCTAGCAGACACGATTACGCAACGGGCTGTTCTTGTTCGCTTGGAGTGAGAGCCTCATGCCTCGTTCAGGTTTCAGTCGAGATGGGCGTTTGTGTCCAAATGGGCTGCTGCACTTTAGCTTTTCAAAAACCTCAGCATGGTTCTTCTTGTTGGCTGATGTGGTCTAAAACAAACTAGTACGGTTTTCACTGATGAATCCAAGGTGACACGTTAAGTGACAAATCGCTGATAAATGTCATGGAAGAAAGGCTGCACCTTAACTTTTTTAGGTATGACCATGAAGATGCCTGCACTACAAACCTGCCGTTATTGTTTTAAAATGCTGAACATCTCCCGGGAAGTCCTGCTGTTTTCTCTTGAGTGTGGTACTATACACCTATTGAATACATAAAATTGATAGACAAGGTGCTTTAGACAGCAGCATCTATGAACCAATTTTTAATCAAGATGCCAGGGACAATATTTAGTCAAGTCAAAGTAAACTTTATTGTCATTCGTACCACACAGTTTGAGAGTGCATGGTAGAACGAAATTGGGTTTCTCCTGGCTCAATGTGCAAAACAAACAGAAATATTACAGGCTACACACAATACAACACAGAACTACACAGAGAACTACTATTCAGCACAGATCTAGAGGTAAATCTCGTGCAGAGTAAATAGTGCTCAAATTTAAATTTCTACATTATTATTGCACCATCTAAACTATTGTACCATATAAGCCACTTGAACCATTGTTTACAGTCTTTGATGACCAGCATAACCTTTGGCACTGAGAGTGTTCCTTTACCCAGGATGTTCCTTTGACATGCATGATGGAAAACGTACTGTATGGTGAAAATGGATTTGTCTAAAAGGTTTTCTTTGTCGCCCCCTAGTGGCGATATTGTTTTTTGTAATAAATATTACGCGATGTCAGTGTGCCCATGGAACTTGTATCAAATACATAAAATATATTAAATTGTTGTTTTGTTTTGTTCTATTTTGCTTTCCTTTCTCATGTTATATTCCCTACAAATTCCCTATTTATTACTATTTTGTTTTTAATCTTCTTCTTTATTCTTTGAAATACACAACAAAAGGGTTGCAAATCTCACATTTATTCACTGAAATTCTCCCTTATAGTACAGATGTCTATCGACTTACGTCCGTGTGTCTCACATTTTACGTTTAAGATACAACATCACACACATTTATCTAAACTTCTACAATTATAGCGCAATCGGTTTGTCTTGGTTTGCATACCGCATGCGTGGTAAAACATGTCCGCTAACGTCCACCACGTCTCCTACGAACCTTCGGTTTTAAGTATAATCAAACGTTACTCTATAGGACGCAAGTCAATTGATGAATATTTACATTGTGTTTCAACCCTTAACACAAAATAAATAATTTCTGTCAACATCTAGTCATTATAACCTTCCAGAATTTCAACAGTAAATATAATTAAAAAAATATAATTCACAGACTTGATACGAAAAACATATGTAGAGAAAATTTATAAACATATCAATCATGAACATTTTGGAGTTCCATGTCAAAACAGCTTGTTGGTAAAATCTACAAAAAAAATGTTGTGCGGTATAAAATACCAAACCGAAGCAGGAATATTCTAACAGTTCTTCAGCCAATTTATCTTAAAAGTATAACTGAAGTCAAATCAGAAATAGAGGACATAATTCAAAACCATCTGGTGCTCTTTACTCCAGAAACCCCCCTTTTGTAGATAGTGATGTTTATTTACCCAAACCCAACAAACGAGTCATTAATATTTTTATAAGCAGAATGTTGAATATACATGCATAAAGCAGGACAAACAACCCTAAGTGGTTCTCAGCCTTTTTTGCACCCGATTTTACCCCCGGTTTTACCATGCCAGCGCAGTCGCGTCCCTATATCAAGTATAGGTTTAAATTAACTCTATGATCAAACACGCAGCGCACTCCGCATTTTACGCCAATCAATGTCAATGCACAAATGCGATTGGATGTTACCAGTGGATTTTAAATTAAGTATCTGTGGTTTAACTTCTTGGATTGGTTGAGTGTTCCTTAATTTTCCGCTAAGCATTTGCAGACCAAAGACCAGTTTTTATAGGTTAGTTCAAGGATTGGGGCTGATTTATCTGATCGTGGATCGGCATAGGAGCTTGCTGGTTTTAAAATCCTTGCATTTCCAACTTTGCCTTGCGACCCCTTCAGAACTTGCTGCGACACAAATTTCGGTCGCGACTGATAGGGTGAAAATCGCTGCCCTACAGACCCCTCCTCCTCAAGTGAGAAGGGTTCTAACTAACATAGTTAAAATCTCGACGAATATAGTGAGAATCATTTTAGCCCAGGAGATAAATTAAGATCCTGCATTTAAAGAACATTTTTGGAAATTTCAATATATTTAACCTTGATGCCACTGAAACACATGCAAGAGGAATTTGAAATATGTCTTTCAAAAAAAAAAAACAATAGTATTATAAAAAAAGGACTAGTAGCTAGTTGTGAAATTCTTGTTTGCCTGACGTGCAAATGAGTGACAGAAAATAGATTGTGTAAATGTCACAATCGATTTTTTTTTCTTTTTTGGTCAGGGTGCCCAGTGCCACCCCCAACAAAATGCTGCCACAGCTGCCCATCTCGCCTGTGCCTAAATGCTCCCCCCGGAGAACACATTCCCTCCCTCTTCCCACTTCCACACCAAACGCCATTGGCCGCTATTATTCAATATGACCCAGTATCATTTCATACAGGAATAATAAGAAAATAAAATGTCACTCCTTAATTCTTTCAAAATCAGTAATGTTCTTACGCAACATATTAATCTGCTCAAATGCCAGTACAGACTTCACATTCTCGGCAAGTCCAAAGCACTTGTATTCTAGAAAGACAGGACTATGTAACTGCCAGTAAAATGAGCTTACAAGTCAGCTGATTAGTGGAAACTAATTTGATTAATTCAATTTGAAGAAACAGACCGTTGTTTGTAACTGCATTTTAAATGCAAAAAACGTGGTATGTTTTCATCGCCCTCTGGCTAATAGTGCACCATTAGCCGTATTTACATATATTTGCACGTTTCCCTATCAGAATAGTTTCTTTTAATGAGTTTGCTTAAATAACATTCTCTAATTAATAAAAATTAAATAAATAGTTTGATGAGGCATGACATGAATACATACAGTGTAATGTGTCGTTTGGTACATTAGTCTCCTCCAGTTATCGGAAAGCATTTGCATATTTTCCCATCTCAGTCAATTTTGAGGATAACTGAGCCAACAATCTTATATTGGTCATACTGCTGTACTGTGCCCATAAATATTAAAGTCCACAAAAACAAAAGAGTAAGAAGTATGTGCTGATAGACCATGTCACTGTAACCAAGACAAACCACCTTAGGGATGAGATCCTGAGTGCAGTCACACAGTGGGTGAGACCTCAGCACCACACCAGTCCGAATGGAATGGAACAGTGTGAGTTTTTTACGGTGACTGGAGAGCCAATCCTGAATCCAACTCCCAAATTTTCACTATAAGTTGGAGAACCTGCTTGCAAGGCTGGATGTAGATTAACATCATACCCAAGAAGAAGCAATGGAGTAGGATCACTGCTGACATTCATGGGATTCAAACACAGAACCTTATGATTACAAGCACAAATGTCTAGCCTCAGAGCCACCACTCCACCCAACAAAAGAAAATAATTATCTAATAATAATAATAACAATAAATAATAATAATAATAATAATAATACTTTTAATTAATTAAAAAATCAGCCTTCTTCTGAGGTATCAGATTCCAATATGCTACTTAATTTTTTTTTTTTTTTTTTGAAAAATAGCGACATCTGCTGTACAGTGGAACACATAGGAAACAATTTCAGACAACAAGTATCAGTCCTGTAGCACAACACCAGTCCACAATCAGGCAACATTCTGTCAGCCAGGCAAAGAAAATTACAGAAGACGTCGGTATTTAAATGATACCTGTAAACATGTGATTTTTGAATTACTGTAACTACACTGTGGGGAAAAAAATAATCAACAAATATGTTGGGCTATGTTGGAATCTCCAGCTCCTGATTTATGCTTGTCTATCTGTTCCTGTCAGAGAGCCTCTTTCAGGACATGGTTGACGTTCTTAATGAGAGAGGAGCTGTACTTCCAGATTGTGGTGTCCCTGATTAGGTCTTTCTCCCTCACCTTCATGTCATCATCTTTCCTGCAGTGGTGCAGCCGTGCTACGCAGCTAGGCACCCACATGGAGGATCCTACATGCCAGAGGACTTTGTGCACGGAGGTCCACACTACAGCACGTGGATTCACAATCACTTTGCATGCATTGAAGGCGAACCTCCGGTAGGGCTCACGGTGTACGTGTTGCAGAATGTTGACACCGGGCACCTGGCTCCAAAGGTTAAACTCCCCCGTGTCACCAGTCACACTGGTACGGAACACGCTGTTCTCAATCCAGAAGATTTCCACTCCGAGGTGGGCTGAGGATAGTGTGTTCATCATCTCTGCCCAATCACGGTGCAGGATGGGCACCACGACCTCGTCGATGTCATTCAGGAGCACATAGCGGCTCTCTGGCATATTGCGGTACACACAATCGTTCAGGGTGGTGACCTGCCCATAGTAATGCAAGTCTCCAGGATCCAGGGAAGGCAGCCAGCTCCTGGATACACTGAGGTAGTGCTGAATATCCCAAGCAATGACTTCAATAAAGCCCTCAGCAACATAGTAGTCCAATACCCTCTGGAGTATGGGGCTGCAGTCACTCTTGTAGACAAACACTTTTTGGGCGCCGAGGATCCGATACATCTCCAATGATTGCACAAACTGTAGGACATTGCTGTAGTTCCCATATAAGGTGGAAATGCAGACCGAGAACTGGCGGGGGTAGGTCAGTAACCTGTCTCGATGGACAGGGCGGATACGGAGGAGTGGACCGGCTGGTTTTGGGCTCATTGTTGTGGTTACAGAGACGTAAGGAGCGACTTGAGCCATGTTTGGCATCTGGCACATAATGAATGCAGTACCATAAGGGAAGGAGAAGTGGTCAGGGTGAATCAAGACCTTGGCCCTAACGGTGGCAAGCCACGAACTATTGTAGAACTGGCAGTAGAATTGAGGCACCTGGGATCTCTTCACGATGGCAATGATGCGTACGGTTCTGGAAGAGAAGCGCTTGTCCAAGTAGGCCGACACGAGGAGAGCCGTGGAATTTCTCACACGTGATATCGTTCCTGTGGTCACGCTGATGTCACGAAGGTCCGCACTGGGCTTTTCCCAAAGGATTGCAGCACGATCAAAAAGATACATTTTAGCAATCAAAACGAAAAGTACAGCAATGGCACAGCCCGTGAGGATCTTGAACATGAAAATTCTCATGTTCCGTCTGTTCTCAGTGTACATTCCTCACAGTTCCAAGGTCTGGAAAAAAAATAAATGTATTAGTTATCTCAAAGCAGGATCTTCCGAACAATAGAATCAAGAATTTGTTCAGAATAGCTCAGAACAACATCTTAGGCTTAGTGAGTCTTGCAAAACTATTGAACGCCCCTTAAAATGATCAGGTTTGTCAGAATTACAAATGATATCTACTCATAGTCAGTTTTTTTTTTGTTGCAAACTCACAGTCTCTCACAGTACATTTTTGGTGTCAAAATTGATTGTCAGCAAATAAAAAAAGAAAGTCAACAACTGAAAAATGCTACTTGCAGAAATACTCAACTCCTTGTGCTCTGGGAGCAGCAGATGAAAGAGGAAAAGGACACATATGGAACCGTGTTTTCCCCCAACAAAATGAACCCTGGGGCAGAAGAGAGAAATGTCAACGCATGTGTCCCCGAAAAGCACAATAACAGCACAGACAACCAGGCTGTAATGAATGATTTAGGCAGGTCACTTCACTGCTGCTGCTGCTGTTGTGGGTCAGGACACAGGAGGCAGGTAATCTTTATGGATTAACTACTCCTTAATATAATTAACAAAGAGAATATACAGACGTGGACTAATTAGTTGGTACCCTTACAGCTCATTGAAACAATGCTTCATTTCTCCTGAAACGTGATTCAATTAAAAGCAATTGTCTAATGCATACCGGCATGCCCTTAGTACTGTATATAATAGAGTAAACCAATAAAACTGAGAAAAGAAATGATTTGTTGTTTGTTTTACAAGGATATGCTAAAATAATATGGACAGATTTGTTGGTACCCCAAAGAGACAATTTATCCTTGCATTATATTTATGTTTCAAACTAGGTGTTTAACCTTAATTAGTGTCATAGGTGCCTTCAAGCTTTTCATCAGCCATTCAGCCTATTTAAAGGGAAAGAACATGCTACTGTGTTGTTTGGTATCATTGTGTGCACCACACTGAACATGGACCAGAGAAAGCAAAGGAGAGAGCTGTCTGAGGAGCTCAGAAAGAAGGTTATAGATAACCATGTTAAAGGTAAAGGCTGTAAGGCCGTCTCTAAGCAGCTTCATGTTCCTGTTATGGAAGTATATGTGTAGCAAAATTCAATTTGCAATGCAAAATGACAATACAATATGCAAAATGTCAATGCAATATTCAAAATGTCAATGCAATATTCAAAATGGCAACGCAATATTCAAAATGGCAATGTAATTCTGTATTTAAATTTACATTTTCCATCACCTCCACGCGTGCAAAATTTGGTGCAGAATGAAATTGAAGATTAAATTATATTATTTACATTTACCATTTCCAACAGTAGTCTTAAGTTGTAAAGTGCATACTATTTTAATGCTTTATAAGTAGCAAAATTAAAATGAAAATGTACTGTATAACCCAAATTGATTTGATATGTGTAACGTGTCCAAGCAGAAACAGTAGCAAAATTATCATTTAAATGTTATTTGTCCTAAATGCATTTAGACTAACAGTTAGGACACTTATGATTGCATTTTCATCATGACGCCGTGGGATATTTGTAGCAAAATTCAATGCGGCTTTGAAAATGCATTCCGAGCTGACCACGCTCACCCAACGGCAATCATTGCGTCAAGGCGGGGATTGGCGGAAGCGTGTTACGTTTAGGTCGTTTGAAACATGGCGGCTGGAGATCTGATAAGATCGTTGAATTCATTGGCAGATGAAGTGGAGCGTGAACAGAGAAATAATGTTTTTGAAGCATCATAGAAACACATAGGCTGACTTGAATAATCTGATAAAAATTTAACTTGGGAATTCAGATCACTTGAGTAAATAAGAAACTTCACAGAGGCATGTATCCCTGCTTGGAAAAAACAAAACAAAACAAACAAACAAAAAAAACAATAGATCCCTGCCCAAAACACAATAGAATTTCTATTGGGCTTCTATTGTTTTGTTTTGTTTTTTGTTTTTTTCAAGCAGGGAAACATGCCTCTGTGAAGTTTCTTATTTCTTGGGGAAAAAAAACAAAACAAAACAATAGAAGCCCAATAGAAATCATCACAGAAATTCTAATGGTTTCCATTATAATACCATTATGAACCATTAACTTTTCAAGTAAAACCATTACACATTACAATCTGCTCAGTTACTGGGATTTTCACGCATTTCTAGGGTTTACAAAGAATGGTGTGCAAAGGGAAAAACATCCAGTATGTTGCAGTCCTGTGGGCGAAAATGCCTTGTTGATGCTAGAGGTCAGAGGAGAATGGGCCGACTGATTCAAGCTGATAGAAGAGCAACTTTGACTGAAATAACCACTCGTTACAACCGAGGTATGCAGCAAAGCATTTGTGAAGC